GTAGATTTTAAAATACAGAACCTTTATTTTTTCATGGGCTAATTAGAAACATGCCACAGATACAGAATCAGAGCCATATGTAAAGCTCTGAGTGAGATATAAAAGATTGTCTGAAGGAAAAAAAGCTTGCCTTTTCCGTTCAACAACACAGGGCTTGTGCAAGTTCCTAGTTATTTCATTCAGGAAGAATCAAAGTTTCCTTTCAGGCACAGAAAAACACGGAGCTCTGACTCTTTGGTGGAGTCAAACACAGTGCTAGGAGCAAACAGCCCAATACTTCAGTTAAATGACAAGAGACATTTAAAAGACAATATTTCTCCGATCCCAAGGACTGTTCCAAGAAGGCTTTTTTAGGGCTTCAGTACAGGGATTTGTATGAAATCCATTAGCATGGGCAACCACTGAGACCCTCTGCAGTCTACTTTTGGGGTCAACATGGGAGGTGACTCCTTTGGTTCAGGTTGGGGGGCTGTTTTCCTAAATTCATATGTCTACTTCTTTTAGTAAAGGTTAAAAGCAATTCTCATTGATGATATCCTCTTGAAATGCTAATCCACATAACCAAAGAAAGCATTCTGTAAAAGTATTTTAGCTAGATTTTACTCATCTTATTCAATATGCAGTTTGCTAAGGCCCAGAACTCAGAGCATTTCCAGCAGGATCTGCAATGACAGTGGAACAGGTAGTGCTTCCCTGGTGGCAGCCTAATTGTAAGATGCTACCTCTGGTCAGCAGACATCTGCAGGAAGAAAATTCTGCAACTCAGAGAATATCCTGCTACATTTGATTTTGGATTCTTTAACACAAGATAAACAAAAATAATACAAATACTGCAGTCAGCCATGATTTTAATAAGTCCAAAAGCATGATGTTCTGAATTTACTGTTGATTGCAATCAGCCACCTCAGTTTGCTCAGCATATGAACAGCTCCCAGCAGTCTACACACAAAATCCTCTACAACATCAGGCGTGAACAAGCCTGCAAGCTAGCTGAACTCCATCTTCAGAAGAGTATACTAGAAACAATGAAAACAAAGGCCAAAAATGACGATGAAATAAACTAACTATTCACTTTGAAGTTTAAACCTTCCAGGCCTAGAAAAGAGTGAATAGTGACCCAAGCAGGAGAGAGTGAATTCCCATAGGAATAAATACGTCTGGTCACTAGGTGTCAGCCTTGCCTCTACCAGGAGGACACCGGACCTTCTCCCTGTCCCCGCTAAGCAAATGCAACTCTCAGCACTAAAAATGACCGCAGCGGTCTCATAATTAGGGGAGAGGGAGCAGATGGAGAAGGATGTTTGTGCGGGGTGCTTGTGATCATATTTGTTACCCTCAGGTTTGGACGCTGGAAACAGACAGGTTTCATGTTGAGGAGATGTGACTGGATGTCACCTGCAGGGACAGCAGAGAAGTTATGCTAACAATGAAAATATCAGCGGGGTATTAGCAATGAATGAGTAAGTGCTTTGCAAGCCTTACAGTATTTACTGTTTATCCTAGAGCACCAGTTTCTGGAATATTGCCATCACATAAAAATGCTGGCTCCCACTTCTTAAATTTGCCTCTGGTCTTGCTGGATACAGGAACAATGCTTGGAAATAAGATTCCTGCAGAGCCGAAAAATCTAAGGACAACAAAGAAAACCTAAAATGTATATTCTTTAAATAATTTCTTGACTACTGACAGTTCATAAAAGTAGTCAGCAAAAACAAAGAGTAATTAAACATGCAGCAGAGTTTCAGTGGTGTTGAAGAATACATGTTTCTGACTTTGAAATCTCTTCAGGCAGATTTTCATACCTTCATTTTCACATTCCCAAGACTCTAATTTTTTTTTTATTTGGCCCCAGCCTGCTACAGTACCATAGGTGCATGCCAGGCCCATGGTCTGCTGCCACTGCAGTTTCCCAATATGCCATAAGCAAAGCCATCCAACCCAGTCAAGAACAACAACTGGAATTGGAACAACATGCAGTTTTCACAAGATGCAGCAAAAATTACTTGACAGGTTTTTACCTTTTTACCTCCCTTTTTCTTCTTAGGTTCTCTTAATGGACAGATAAGCTTTCCCACATCAAACACAAAATCAGAGCACCCCAGTGCTTCGATCCCCTCAGAGACACACAAAAGAGTGCAGAAAAACTCACACAGGTAGAATTTTACTACACAATCACATCCTCACTATAGTAATTAATTTCCTGATCATCCCACAGTAAACACCTGTCCTTAATGATGAACTTGGAAGGGCTGGAGCCTTCCAAAAACAACAATTACAACAAAGTCACAATTAGCTCAGACATTTTGCCTAGAAGCCAGGGCAGGAGCAACATCACATCACCCAAGTCCAACATAAAACCAGTAGAATAATATTTTGTCTGGAACAGTTTCAAGCCTAGTACATGGCCCATACTCAGACTGCCTGCTGCAATAAGCACAATGGCCTTGCCAAGAAAAAAAAAAAAAAAAAGGAAAATTTAAAAAAGAAAAAGAGGGATCTCCCATTTTTGATTTTGAAAATGGAGGTGAGTTTCATTTCTGTGCTTCACTTATATACATTAGAACTAGAACAAACATCAGCATGTATTACACAAGGGTCAAAGAAAGCAGGCAGGCAAATTTTGAGTGGAAATAACAGTGCAGGGCTGAGAACTGGGAGTCATCCACCTTTAAAGTCAGAGGCTGCCAGTTGGGGATGTCACCAATCTCTGTATCCTGGAGAAGCTACTGTCTCCAATAGTTTTAAAATAACACTGATTGTTAGCATCTCACCTCTTGTGGCAGCAATATATCCCCTAGACTGCTTTTTTCACTAAATAATTTTAAAAGCATGCTTATTTTCCAAGACAAATACAACCTAGTATTCATTACATACATACATACATATTCATACATTAGGTTTCACAAGTTCTTTCAATGGCAAGCTAAGCAACACACACCAGGGATACGCTGATCCTATGGAGAAATTCTGACCATTAACTTCAACCTTGGGTCACAGAAAACAAATAGCAGGATTCAGCTCCAGATGCTGAGGTTTTGGGTGCATTACAAGAGTGCTATGTTACAACTCCTGTCACAGTCAGTGGAATCTAGAGTGTCACTAAACCGCTTGGATGTCTGCTCCAAGCTGAAGATGACTTTTCTCTAGGCTCTAGATACCAACTGTATCAATCACACTACTACAAAAGCACCGAGATTCCTATGAGAGGAGTTTGAAGCACCGTTTACATGGGGGAAATGTAAATTTAGACCTGCATTAATTTTGAAATTAACACAATACCTCACTACAATAACACTTCATAAGGAACTCGGATTCCAATTTTTGAAGCACTGAACCACAGCTTCATTCAACTAAAAATGCATCTCCCTTGCAAGGTATCAAGTGAATTTATTTCCTTAATTTAAGGTACTCTGCACAGGGAGCAAACTACACCAGCATCACAAAAACCCCTAGAGAACTAGTTTACTATAAATTTACACATCAACTTACTTTTCAAAGGCCCACTCTATCTCCATAAACTTCTAGCTATCGTAACCTGCCCAAGGAATAAAAAATGGCAGATTTTCAAGCTAAATATGGACTAATCTGTCCATATTTATAGACTAAACCCCAGACAGGACAATGCTACCATGAGATAGAATGAATCTTACAGAGGCTGAAGAAAAGTGTAAGGAGAGACAGATTTGGGCATTGGTCCATAGAATGCAAAATTGCCTATCCTTTCTTACTGGTATCTAGTGAGTGCAATTCTGAGGTAAGTGCACAGGCACTCTTCTAGGAGTGTTCATTGACTGATAAACACCAAATCCATTGCTCAAAGGGCCCTCCAAGTTGCTTGGCATGTGGCTTGGAATCCACAAGGTTAACAAGTAAACAACATTGCTGTTGACATTTTTAACAACAAAAGCAACACCAGTCCAGGAAACTCAGAGCAAACCCCCCCCCATAAACAGATGCAGGAATGATCAACACTTTTCCTGCTCCAGAGGCACATAAAACAACCAGATTTTCAAACCCAGAGTGGGCCAGACAGGATGACACTGTGAGAATGATTGAGTCCTGCAGTTCCCACCGCTACAACGGGAAAGGTGAGAAGAGACCTTGGGAAGATGCGGATGCTTCAGAGGGAATATTCAGCACAGGAGACACAATACATCTGAGGATAGCTTCACTGAGAAACCATACTTCTTTAGAAAATATATTTCTGCTACAGAAGACCAAGATAAGTCACCTCAGTGGGAGATAAAGGAGCTTAAAAAGATCATCATTTCCCTCTAATGGGCAAAAACCCTGTCACATTTGGACCTCTTTTCATAGACTAAACCATAACCTTAAACTGAAGTTCAGGTTGTGAGTTACATGAAACTATTCCTGTCTGATCACATTTTCAGAAAATTTTAAGACATAAAGCTACATATAGAATATTAAACTGAACATTTTGCATATACACAGCATCTTTCTTGTTTTAGATATACATAAACAGAACAGTTAAATATTTAAAATAAGGGACCTATGCAACAATTTCTGATTCCTTGTAGAACTTGTGTTAGTGCAAAATTAGTTTTGCATTAGCATTTGAGGTTTTAATATAGAAAATAACAGAAAATAGAAATAATAGCAGAAAATAATAAAATAGTAATGAGAAGGTATCTTCATAATTGATCACGTTTATATGACTTCCTGGAGGACTAACATCAATCATGCTTCTATATCAAAACAATGCTGGCACACTGCCAGTGAAGATTCAGATCAGGACCACTGATTTAATTTATTCATTTTTGGAAATCAGTGGATTGTACAGTTAGCTTCTGACTGTTAAACAGAAATTCTATATAAAGTATAATGAAGCCAGGTTATCACCATTGTGTGTGAAGTTTAATCCGCTTCGTTTTGAGTCTGCAGTCAGCTACTTGCAAGTATAGCATTGACTGGCTGCAGTCAGTAGAATCTGTTCCTAGGAACAGGTGATTTCTAATTGTCACAATATGAAACAAGGTATGTACTTGTTTACAGGCCTTTATTTAGATAGCAGTCTCACATCTGTAATCAGTTTTATCAAGTAATCACTCAGAAGTTTGATGTTGCTGATAAAAACTGACATGGCTTTCAGCATTTTGTGACACAAATAAAAGTCCCTTTTCCTCAGTTACCCTATAATACTTTTCCACCTACAGCAGATTGGGTACTTCTTGCTATGGCACATGCAAAACCACTCTCAACACAGGATAACCAAGACAATCCTTTATCTTATAAACATGCAATTATGGTCCTAAATCATGTACCTAAGTAATGAGAATGGCTTTAGGTGCCAGCATTGACTTAAGTCTTGCACCAGTAAGCCTGACATGTAAACAACAGTCCTTTCAGACACTTCATTATGGATTTATTAGAAACCTTGTCAATAACTCACTTGTACTTTTGATAATTGTGTATTTGGTTGCTAGGAGACTTGTGTTCCTGATGAGATAAAATGAACAGGAAATCCTCTATAGCCTTGTGACTTTTTGCACTAGTAAATAAAAATTCAAACAACTGATAGAAAATACTGGATACTGTTAACAGAAGTGAGAAAAAAAGACAAGCATTGCATATTTTAAATAAAGGAACATATAGCCCTTTTTTGCCCTCTCTAACTATAAGATGATAAAAGATCACCTTTAAGAAGTAGAATGACCGGATTTTGTGGAACGTGGCTGTTTTGGCTCCAAGGTATTTGTAGTGTTGTAGTATCAGAGCCAGGATACAGCTGCCTTGTGACTAAGACATCGTTCACTGAATAAGTGCTATCCAATCCCTCGACGTCACCAGACATCTGTTTCCTGTTTTCATTCTTTCTTTCACTGTTATCATTTTATCCAAGTTACCCTTTCACCTGAAAACCATTTAGAAACCTACAGAAACCAGCGTGTGCATGCGTGTGTGTATCAAAGAAGTTGATTTAGAAAAAAAATTGCTGAGAGCAATTTGTTCATTTTAATACAAAGAGCAGAAATGGAAACAAACTTGCCTTCCCCCTTCTTCTCCTCCCCAAAATACACAATGATACATAAACACTTTTGTCTTCTGGTCTTCACTAATATGACTAACTTCCTTCTTCACTTCCAGTTAAGTAGCTTTCCTGTTGAGTACCACCACCTCCACAAAATACAATTGTGAATTGATTCATAAAAACAGAAACATTATGGCACAAATAAGGGAAGGCAATAAATACTCTTCCCTCCCTCTCCAACTCCTTCCCAAATGGAGGCAGTAGTAATATTGTTATTGTAAAGTTATTGTAATAACAAAAACTTTAAAAAAAAGAAAAAGCAGAAAGTATTGCTTGTCATTTAAGGTTCCAAACCAACAATCATCAGGATGCAGAACAGGATACATCTAAAGTGAGAAAGTTATTTACTCCACATTCAAGTTAACACCAACTGTACTTTTTTTGGCACACAGTATTATTCTTGACGTGCCAAAAAAGTGTTGGGCATCTTATAAAATATTAATGTTAATGCCACTAAAACAAAATTCCTGCTATTCATAGTCCAATTTTATATTGCTGTTTTGCTATGTTTCACCTATACTTAAGACCCAAGTCAGGGGCATAACCATTACTGATAGCATTTAACATGCATTAACAAGGAACAATACAAGTTGAAGAGTAAATTGTCAAAAATTAATGATTTCTATTCTTAATTTCTTGATTTCAGATTATTTAATTAGAATGAGAAGACTTCTTTTATTTTGTTATGTGATTACAGATGGTCATAGTAAGGCAGGTTGTTGAGTGAAGGAAAAAATCTGGGCTGGTTGACGAACACCAACAAAAATTCATCCGCTTCGTTTTATTGTCTGAAAGAAAAAGAAGGTTTTTCTTAAATCCTCCCCTATTGAGGTACAGCAGCAAAATACAGATGTCATACAAGAGAAAGAGGAGATTCTAGCACGCAGAGGACTTTCCCTACAAGATGGGATGGTTCGGCAGCTACAGGAAACGCTAAGTAGCATTTCCAAAGATACGTGAAAATTGGGAAGCAAGATGACTTCTTGTGTTCTGGTCTCCTGGACCACTTCCCGCATTCTTACAATCAAATTATGACTATTTTAAAGCCAAATTCAGCTTCCATTAAACCACATAATTATGAAGCAGCTCATTAACTTCAGAGCAGTCAGAGCACATTCTGATACATTATCTTGGTCTCCCCTCTCATCCCTCTTTACTGTCTGGTTCTCTGTCTCAAATGTCCAATACTAAGCTTCCACACAAAACCTACAATACTCCTGCATAGTAATAATGCAGTATTCTGGAGAGACTGATAAAACAAATCTTCGATGAAAATATTCTTCAAGATTTAATCAAGTTTGTGTGATTAAAATGCTATTTCCCATAAATACAATTTGTTCATAACTTTCCACAACATTTAAATTCATTTGTCCACTGTCACACATGCAATCTGTGATCAGCTGAAAACTGAATTCTAACTGTGTACTTTGTACATCACATCCCATCCTTCATAATCTGCTTTCACTGCCATTCATTGACTCTGGATTCTGGTATGCATTTTTATTAGCAAGATTACATTTGTGTCAGGACAAGTTTTAAATTCTGTTTGAATAATAAAAGCCATTGAATTAAGACAGCTATCTTCTCCTCCCAGCCTCAAATTTAGATAGAAAGTTGTTTTAAACTGCACACCCTGTCTTGCCCAATTGCATATAAAAAAATAGAAAAAACAAGATCTCTCAAGCTCTAGTGCTATTGATGTCAATGGCAACATCCAAAACATAGCTATGGAATTGAAGAGGTTATTGCAATCTTTAGTACTTTTCCATTTCTAGTTCTTTTTATTTTTCCCCAACCAAAAATAACCCTTAGAGCTATCCAAGATACATTTTATAGAACTTACAATTTTATGCAATACGACTGTAAAACTAATTTTAGTTTTTACAGTCATGTGTCCAGTTTTAAATTGAGAGGGGAAATATAAAGTAATAATTAGGTCAAATGACTATTTGGAATTATCCTATGAAACAAATGCAACACATTTTGTCTGAAAAAGTAACTGGCAAACCATTGGAAGAGAAAGTGCCCAGACCCACACTTTATGTCAGACTCTACATTGTTTTCAAATGTTAAGACTTCTGATACACTCTATTATGACAATAAAAAAGTTGAGAAGTACACCAGAAGATTACATGAAGAAAAAATGTTTTCTCTAGTATAACAGGAGTCTCAAAAACAAACAAACACACACCACTTCTATCCATTATTTCATACCCAGATGTTTCCTGTACACCTGCAGTTGTGTCCAGTCCTGAACTCATGAGCTGTAGTATTTCAACAGACTCTCATCAGTTGGTTTTAGAATTTTCTTGTCTGCCAGGTTTATGATCCATCCTGGAGCAAGACCAAAAAATATCTGTCTAGGATCCTTGCGTGCACTTAGCATTTTAAAAAGTTCATCCTTAGTTATGTCTGGTAAGACATAGCCATATTTCTTAGCAAGTTCCAGCCTGGCTTCTGCAACCTTAGATGGATCTGCCAGGTAGCCCCGACTCCTGGGATCTGTGTAGTAACGGACGAGGTCTTCAGGTGGGAGCATTCGCTTTGGGATGGGTTTGCCACGCAGGAAAAATACTACCGGCTTGCATAAAATTTCTGTGGGCAAACATGAGAGAAGATTAGTGATTCGTAACATAGATTTGAAGACATTAAATGACACTTTCTTATTTTGTACTAAATTAATTACTACGTTCACATTAAAAAGTACCAAGCAAAAAATCGACCATCAAGAGTATTCTTGCTCAGAATGAGATAGTGGTTTGCAAGTTTCATTCAACCATGCAAACAACTCTGTTTTAACTGGTATTTATAGTGTCAGTCTGGAGGAGTTGCTACTTCTAATACATTTAGAATGCCTGCTTGGGAAAGATAACCATAACTAAGCTTACTTAAATTACTATTTCCAGATTTGAAGCAATGCATTTGCACAGCTATTTACAAAATGTACCAACTAATGTCAATTTCATTGCTTCTATAAGTATTTTAAATAAAGTACCAATGGCACATGCACCTATTTAGTCCTTCGTGGGAGTATCCTCTCTCCCTCAAATTTTACTGATTTTAGCAAATTATATTCCAGAACCTTTTAACCTTATTATTTTTATTATTTTGTGGAACTAAAAATATCCCAGAAGTTGTATCACTCCTGGGTAACATATTTTACACACTAAAAATGTCTATTCCTCTTCTTTTCAGCCTCATTCACACATGAAAGCTGAGTTATTGTCAATAAGAACTGCATGAATGAATGTTAGGCAGGATGCAGCCTCAAGCAAAGCAAAGCCTCATTCTTCAGTGAAAGTGTTCTGAAAACAATAGCCATTTTAACTGGAGTGATTCTGAGCTTCTGTAACTTACTTCCTCACTTCAAGTGGAAAAGCATTTTAAATTAAAAATATAAACATCCAAAGTGTTTTTTAAATCTATTTTTTCCTGAGTTTTCTTAGTGCTATTAAACATGGGAAACAGAAGACAAAAATTCAGCAAAACAATATTTTTAGTTCCTCTATTTACAAAGCTATTCAGATTTCCTTCACTGGTTGATTGGTATAAAACTACTAATACTGGGAGGATTAAACAGGTGAATGGTTAAAAAAGCTAAAACTGAGGATGCATTATCATTCATTAGTGGGAGCTGGAACCAGATCATCTTTAAGGTCTCTCCCAACCCAAAGTGTTCTATGATTCTATAAATACACATGTAACTGTTTTTAAAGCTTTTAGAAGCTGATGACTTTCTACAAAGAACTGTGTTGGAAACTGATTTGGATCATTTAATCTTTGCATGTTCAAAAAAAACAAGGCAGAAATTAAAAGAAGTTCTTACCCAAGCTCCTTGGGTCATAGAACGATGTTGTTACTACGCCTCCATTTTTTTCTATGGCTGCAATTGCTAATTCCGATGCCCTCTGCACTTCAATATTTACTTTTGCTGCAAAAATATCAGCACCCTGTAAATTTCAACACACATTACAGTAACATTAAAATGTGTATTTTAGGACACACATTTATTCTTCTCTAAAAACTTGTAAGGAACATTAAATCCTACAAAATATTATGAATTGTCTGTTCCCTGCACCAAGATAGGTAACCAAATTGCTCTAAGGCACTTGGGTTGAATAAAGAAAACCTTTCCATTTCCAAGATATTCATACATTTTTTTCAGTACATTTTAGTTTTCTGTTGCAAAGTACTTCTTCAGCCTTTTGTTATGTACTCTTTAACTCTTATTTCTGCAGTCCCCTGGGTATGAAGACATCCTCCCAAGTTGTTTCTTTTTTTGCTGACACACAGTGCCCTCTAGTGGATTTATGATCCACAAAAGTTCCACAGCAAACTAATTGGGAAACTCAAAGATGCTTCCAAACCATGGGAATGACAACCTGAAAGCCTGAAGTACCAAATGTGTTGTCTGCATACCTCCTCCACCAGATGGACACCGTAATCCCGCTTGAGAGGCTGCACTGTCACACCTCTGGCGTTAATGAGCTGAGTTAAATCAATCGGCTGCGTGGGGTCAACTCTGCCCAAATCAATCAGGTACTGCAGCCTCTGAAGACTCAGAGGTTGGTACTGACGTCTGAGGCTGGGGAAAGAAAAAAAAACCCAAAAAAAAAAAAAAAAAAAAGAGAAATTTACAAAACTGGAGTTTTAATAGCAACTGGTCAACTGAGATATTCTGGTTTTTATCTGCTCCTAAATCAAAAAAAATACTAAGACATTACAGTGTCAACATTTCTTGGCAAGACTGTAAATAACTACCATTTTCAAACTGACTCTACCTTGGGTGCTTCACTGATAGACAGTCAAAAAACCAAACATCTCCTCCCATACAAACATAGTCAAAGACTATCAGCAGAATTCTGTACATGCATAGCTTACATACAAGATTTTCTGATCCATTAGTACTGTACCAAACATCTCAGCAAGTACTGAAAGTAGACTCCCTCAAAACACCATCAAGGAAGAGAAATATTGAGAAAATATGCATTAACCTACATTCCCAAAAAGGAGCTGGAATCTCTTGTCAACAGCCATTGGCTTCAGCAGAACCTATTTTTGTTTTTAATCAAGTCCTAACTTTACTGTACAAACCAACCCCTAGCACAGTTTTCCAGTGCCAGAGTCCATTCCTGTCTATGCACACCACTTATATACCCAAAACTTCCTCCCACAATCCGTTTGACAGCTGCTATCGGAAGTCTCTGAGTGGTAGCTCAAGAACTGGGAAGCAGCTGATCTCTGTTACTCCAAGCCATGTACAAGGACAAGAATTTGTGCTGTCAGACAACCCCTTATAAACAGAAAGTTCAAGTCTAACAACTCACAAATACACATTAGTCTTTTCATCCCTGGACTGTCTGCTTGGTGCAGCAGGCTTTTGTTACTACTACCTGTAACAGCATTCTATGCACACAGAAGTTTGCAAGACCAGATCAAAAAGCAACAAAATGGTTTCTGACCCAGGTAACAAAAATGCTACTGATGAAACAAATTAATCTTAAAAAAAAAACCCAAACAAATAAAAAAAATTAATCCAGATTTTTAGATTATCAATATAAGTGAAGGATATTTGGAAGATGTTGACATACATCTCTCCAGGTAAGGACAGTAACTGGAGAAACTACATGTTAGAATAACCTTAAACATTGAAAAGATGGAATAAGGACATGACACAAACAAGTACAAAGTGAAATAAGGACAGAAGTAATAAACAAGGCAAAATGCCCAAGAAGAACAATTGTGAAAGGTGATTTAATGCCTCATCCAGCACATTTGGTATTAAAAAGCTTTTCAGAACTCTAGATGGAACAGGCAGGGCACAGACAGACAAACACCACAGTGTCAGAGGGATGAAAAGGTAGAACCATGAAGAGAAGCAGAATTGTTGGGCTGGCAGCAGATCAGAGGTTCTGGTGAATAAAGCAAGGAGAAACAACAAAGCAAGGCTTTGGATTACACTTCCATGCCCAACATCCTCACTCCGGTCACTGGGACTGTTCCCAGTCAGTTCACTGGGTTATGAGAAAAAAGGAAAATCAAGCACGAATGAAGGAACAGATTCAGAAGAGAAATTCACTCAGCTGGAAGCCTGCTACATATGAAGGATTATGAGAAGAGAGTAAATAAGCAGATGTGTAAAACAGGAAATAATTAATTAAAAGAATAATCTACAAGAAATGGGAGATTCTTCTGGTAAGGTAGCTAACAACCTGAGAGGAATCTGGGAAGCCAAGGTTTTTCAGTTAGGCCTGCAGCATATTAAGATTCTTGCTTCAGGAGAAAGATCAAGAAAAGGAGACAATGATTTATTTCAAAGCAAACATTTAGAAACTTACCTATGTCCCTCATTAAATCCGTATTTTGGTATGGCCAAGTAAAATGGAGTCTGACCACCCTCAAAGCCTAATCGGGGGCGATTCCCTCTTTGTCTTTCTCCTTTGTGACCTCGGCCACACTTCCTACCTCCGTATCTTCCACGGCCGCGTCTTCTTTCCTTCAAAACAATCAGTGATACATTTAAACAACTACTAAACAATTACTTCAGAGTAATAATATTACTTATTATATTAATTAGTAATAAATCTAAAACATTAGATTTCAGAGATACAAGCAACTGAGCAAAATGCTGACTCTTGAGGAAAAGTTAAGTTATAGACCATTACTAAGTGGAAAAATAGAAAAGCAGTTAACATGACTTTTGCAGAGCACAGCTTTAGGCTGGCACCACAAACAGTCCGGGGACAGCTCAGCTTCCTTTGGTAGCAGGGATGGTCGAGTCTAGCACAAAACCGAACTTGAATTCTGTACTATTTAGTGGTTTTAGGGAGTCTTCAGGACTTTTAGGAGAGTACTGCTTGCTGTTCCCTTCTCTGTTTCCATGGTTTCAGCCTTTGAACCTCATCTCCCTGTTCACTAATATTCCCCCCATACCACAATGGTTTCTCCCTGGTTTCTTTTCGTTATTTCTCTACCGCTTTATAAGGAGACAGATCACAGGTTTGTTTTCGAGAAATAGTAAGAATGTTAGCTGGCATCACATTCCTTTTCTTTGTACGCCTTCTAACCTTCGACTTCCAAACATATTACTGCACCCCATAAACATGTGGAGATAAAAACCTTTTACTATTCCCTTCCAGCCCCTGGAATGGCGCTGAGGTTCAGAGAGCACCACTCATCAGCCAGCTCTCTGTGGGGACGGCCACACACACCGGCCACGAGGCACGCAAAGGGCAAGCAGCGGGCCAACACACACACACACACACACACACACACAGCAGTGCCATCCCCTCCCCTGCCTTCCCACGCCTATTCTGGCCAGGCCGCTCTCCTGGCCGTGCCAGGATGATGGCCTTCTGACAACCCTGGGGGAAAACCACACCTCCTGCCGCCAGGGCCCACCCGGCGGGCTGCAGGCACTCACCCGCTTTTTGGAGCCGGGGTTGGGCCTTAAGTTGGCCAGGCTGACCCTGGGCAGCGAGCGCAGCAGCTCCAGGGCCCGGTTCACGCCGCTCCCGCTCATGGCCGCTCCTGCCCAAGGGCGCCCGCGAGGATCGCGCCCGGGCGCGGCGCTTTACGGCAGCGCCGTAAACCGCACCTGCCGCGCCGTCCCAGCGGTGTCGCGCAGCCGGCGGTGCCGGCGCTCAGGATTGCAATGGTTGTGCAAAGGGCGCTCGTTACGTTTCGTCTCCCAGCACCTGCTGTTTTATTACTGAAGCCTCAGCCTTCCGCGCCGAGTCTTTAAAACCATCAGGCTGCATCTAAACCGGACTGGTGCAGCGGTCCTTGCTCAGGCGCACCCCGTGCAGGCACTGAAATACCCATTGCGCTTGGAGACGCTCGTGGTGTAACCGCAGCCATCAGCCGAGCCTCACACAGGCTCACCGGTGGGATCGGGGAGAGAACCGCAAGGATGAAGGGTAGAAAACTCGTGGGCTGAGATAAAGACACATTACTAGAGAAAGCAAAAGCTGTGCGCCCATGCAAAGTAGGAGAAGGAAATTAATTCACTTTTTACCACGGTTAGGCGGGTGTTCAGCCGTCTCCAGGAAAGCAGGGCCCCATCATGTGTAATGGTTATTTGGGAAAACAAATGCCATCACCCAAAACGTCATCCTCCTCCTCCTCCTTCTTCCTCCCATTTTATATACTGAGCATGATGTCATAAGGTCTGGAATATCCCTTTGGTGGTTGAGGTCACCTGTCCTGGCTGTGTCTCCTCCCATCCTCCAGTCTTCCCAAGAGCATGGCAACCTGAAAAGCAGAGAAGGCCTTGGTTCTGTGTAAGCCCTACTCAACAAACTAAAACATCTCTGTATCACCATTCCTTCGTTCAGCACAAATCCAAAACAGAACCCCTTACCAGCCACTGAGAAGAAAATTTCTGCAGTCAAGACCAAGATGTTCCTAGTACTGCTGCAGTATTGATCACATGTATTATTTCAGTCTTAAATTTAAATGTGTACCTACTGGAAAACCATACAGCAGCTTCCATGGGTATTTGGTCTGGTGGGAAGGGTGTGCAGGGTTCAGGCTCAGTGCAGTGAAGAACTGAATTGTAGAAGCTGCCATTGTGGAGTTACAGAGCAGAAAGGACAGATTCCATTGTGAAAGCTGATACTCCTCAGTGTAATAGCCTGCTTTCCATCCTGAAACTTCTGTTTGACAGTACCTTCTCCCATGCTGAATGTCTGCTTTAGACTGGAGAAATGATCAGGCAGCAGCTCTGCTAGCCCTGAGCATAAATGGAGGTAAAATGGAAATCATGCTGCAGAAATCTGTGAGTTTCAGTATGAAATCTCTGTAGCTTCTTAACCCCACCCCCCAAAATTAAGAAAAATTACATTGTAACAATACACAAGATGCTGGTATGGAAAACCATTTTATCTAAGCCCATTTTAGATTCTAAGGCAGGAAAAACTACATAATTTAGAGCATGCTTTGCCTTGTAAAACTCTCGCTGCTTTAAACAGAAATTTCAAATCGGGTAGAAAACTATCATACCTAAGACAGACATCTCACTCTGAAGGGACTGCCAATGTTTTGAACCTTTCAATGTTCTTGAAAGGTTCACAGCTCAGATGTTTTCAGTAATTCCTTTGGAACTCCTGCAGGTCAGTTTCTTGAACACTTATCTGTAAACCAGCAGGCTGCCCCATGCCCAATCCATGCAGAGCTCACTTTTCCCCAGTGCCCCTGGGGCCATGCTAGCAGCAACTGGGAATTGAAGTAAGTTCATTCCAGCTATTGACTAAAATATTAAAATCTTGTTCTGTTTATTAGCAGACTGTTATTTCTTAGGCTGGAGGTTCAGCAGCAGCTCACCTTATGGAAGTGACATTTACATGGTAAATAGCAGAGTAGAGAAGGAAAGCAAAAATTTGTTCATGTCCCAAAAAGATGATCTAGAGCAAGAGTCAGGTTCGGCATACTTAATAAGTACTTGATATAATGTGAAGCTCCTAATCTTTGAAGAATTTTTTATGCATAAACTGTATTTTCTTAACAGACTTGAAATTGGTACAGGACATGAGACAGCAGCACATGCTAAATTAGAGACAAATCAAACCACAAAAAATTACCTGTGAAAATAGCCAAATTTTATCAATAACAAGGATGCCCTGGCATCAATACCATGTATCAAAACAGCCTAAAAATCTCGGTAAAAGAGGATGTGTATTCAATGTTACACAGCTGGCATAAAGGCTCCTCCAATAAATTTTTTGCAGCCAATGCTGGTAATATTGATGAGCAAAAGCTTTGTGAAAAATTGTTGCTGTTTGGTATGGAACACAGCAGTGGGAAGGATGTGAAAGAAGTATAGTGTGTGTTCAGCTGCTGTTGGAGCTGCCAAACAAGCATCCATGCCAGCCACTCACCACCGGACAAATACAATGAGCATATTGATTTTCTGGGAGTAAATATCTGACAAAGATGTATGGAATAGAAGACAAAGAACGAAGTATTCCGTTTCGATAGAAATGTGTTTGCCATACATATTCAGAGTCGGTCTAAGTATTTGGAATAGACTGGAATGATCCAGTAACTTCAACCAAAGTGCCTGAATAGCGTAACACATTGCAAGATAAGAAAGAATCGGTGACTTGTGAGCTGTAAGCCAAGAGATTTAATTCTGTGGTGAAGGTATTTGACCCGATGAGGGCACATGAGCTCCGTCTAACCGTGCTGTTTGCTATATTTGTGCTGGTTTTCCTGTCTTCCCGTGACTTGGCCTTTTATATTTTACCTATTTAAGAATACCGTAATTTCCTTTTCCCCCCCGGGCCTTATAC